GAAGAAGCCAAAGCAGGAAGAGAGAAGTGGCGATAAGAAAAAAGAAGAGATGGAGAATGAGTTGGAGAAGAAGTGAAAGAACATAAGAAAGAGAAAGTCAGTAAGAAGAAAAGTGCGGGGAAGGAAGACAAAGAGAAAGCGAAGAGGAGGAATGTTCTACTTGTCAAGTCAGGTCTGTTGTAGCAGCATTGGGGTGGGAGGGGCTGTATTGGCCATGGCTCCCTGGTCTCCTGGACCATCCACTTCTAGTGGCTGTGCTCTGAGCCCACATGGTGATCTTCCCCCCGCCCCAGGGCCCTCTGAGCAGAGAGCACAGTGGCAGGCAGAAACAGCAAGGCCTTCCTTACCAGAGGGCTGACAGGTTCGTGGAAAGGCAGGCTGAGGCTATTGCAGCACAAGGACAGTACCAGCTTCTCACACTTCTGCAGAGATCAGAATTGGCAACAGTGTGACTTTGTTCTGGTTCCCACCTCAATAAGAACTAAAGATAGTGACCCTGAGAACTCTAACGGGGTTGGCTCTGCTCCACAGGGTATGAGCCACCATACTAAGGTACAGTTCAGCCTTCCAGGCCAGAAAAAACAGTGGGCAGAAGGAAAATCAGAGCAACTCCCAATGGGCCAAACTGCAAGGCATAGCCCCAAAGAGAGGTACCAGGAGAAGCCTCTCATCCCCTCAGGAAGGCCTCAGCCCCTGTTGGCACAGGGAGGCTGCTGCAGGCCTGGAACCTTTTCCCAGAGACCACGCCCTACCTTCTGGTCAGATATGCCCAGGCCAGGAGGGGCCCAGATCCCAGGCTGGTTATAGCGGGCATTCTCACAGTCGTACTCCATCTCGGGCTGGGTCAGGCTGCGGCACAAGGTACACACCCAATCTCCCCTGCAGAGACGGGTGAGGCCTCGTTAGACTTCAACACATTGCCCAGAGCTCCCTCCCCTGTCCCTGTGCCCCAAGACAGGTGTGTGTAGGGGGAAAGAGGGGCACTGGAAAACTGAGTCCCTAGCCCTACACTGTAGGGAATGGCTTCCGAGCGAAAAGCTTGAGAGAAATTCCGTAACTTGGGATTTAGTGAATGCAAGGAAAGAGAAGTCGTAACAAGGCAGAGACAGGAGTATAGGGACAATCTGTGTGCAGGGGGAAGCTGGGAATAGAAAAGGAAAGAAAGCCACCTGAATTTCAACCACCCACTTTTCTGTGTGCAGAAGGAATACAGCTACAGGATCACTAACTCATTCATGCAGGCTCAGAGAGGAGGGGAAGCCCACCAGAGGGAGCTCTGAGGGCCAGGCCTGAAATAATCATCCTTGGAAGATCTCCCCCGCACCCCGCCCCCCGACCCCCGCCAGCCAGGTGATAGCCCTGGATTAGCATGACTCACCCAGGGAAGCTGAGCAAGGCTGGCAAGTGGCAGGAAAGGTGGTACACTTTGGGGCAGCGGTCACAGCACAGCAACTCTCCCCCATTGAGGCACACGGCACAGAAGTCCTCATTCTCTATCGGTGCTGGCGGTCCCTTCTTGGCTCCAGGAGCTCGAGGAGCGAGTCTGTGTTCTTCGGGAGATGCCCCCTCCACCTCTGGTGACTGCTGCCCCAGAGATGTGACAGTGACCTTCCTTCCTCCCAGACTTGGGGCCTGGCTGGCATCAGGCTGGGTATGCTGACTGACCTTGGAAAAGAAGTGAGTCTGAGCCAAGAGATACAGCACCAGTAGGTTGTTGAGGGAGAGAAGGAGGGGAGGGATTGACAATCTCTGAACACTGGCTTATTCCAGGACCACAAGCCCCGTGACTGCTGGCAGCTCACTCCTAATGTGCATCACAGGCCACTGCAGCAAGGAACGAAGTCTGGCCAAGCTGAAGCCCCACTCAGAGACGCAGGACGGAGCCAGGGCCAGAATTCTGCCAGTAGCAAAAAGAAAGGAGGTTCAAGGCCAAAGCAGAGCAAAGTGGTACCTTAATGGACATGCTGGAGGACTCATTGCCACACTCGATGATCAACAGGAAGCTCCCATCCTGATCATTCTCCTGTGGCTTCAACTTAAACACGGGCATCTCTCCCGAGGAGGAAGCATGGATCTTGAGTCGCTCTAGTCGCACATAGGGAATCTTGGACTCACTATTGTAGGATCTATGGCAAGAGAGATACCCTGGGTCTCAATGGGAACCTCCTCTGGCCCCAGCCTCTAAATAGGGTTCATCCAGGATCCCACAACTAAATTGCTGCTCAAAATCTCCCCCATGCCTGGCCAGTGTGGCTCAGTGGTTGAGCGTCAACCTATGAACCAGAAGATCATGGTTCGATTCCAGGTCAGGCCACATGCCAAGATTGCAGGCTCGATCCCCAGTGTGGGGCGTGCAGGAGGCAATCGATCAATGATTCTCTCTCATCATTCATGTTTCTGTCTCTCCCTCTCCCTTCCTCTCTGAAATTAATAAAAATATATTTAATTTTAAAAAAAGATCTCCGTCCAACCCTCGACAGGCCCATATTTTGCCCTCCTGCCCAGCTCTGCCTGGCCAGACCCTGTCAGCCTCTGGGAAACCCTTTGGCCCAAGAAAGGGATCCGTGAAGAGGGAGGACTGCACACAGAGCGCGTGCCTCATGGTGCAGGAGCCACAACATCCTTCCACAAAATCCCAGACACCCGCCCACACAGACCCCACTTGAAGGTCTAAGGGTTGAAGAAAACAGTTGCAGGCAAACATCTGCTTCTAGTGAAGTCATCAAAGATGCTTACTTCCTGTGCCAGCCTCCCAGGATCTGAAACTGAGCGGGGGCGGGGAGGGGGGGGAGGTTGGGCCAAGAATCTCTTACCTGATACTCTGGTTCTCTTTTGTATCCAGCTCTAGGGCTCCTTGTTCAACATTCTCATACTCTAAGGCAAAAGACAAATACCTGTGACATATTTATGACAACATATCCTGTCACCCACACTCATATCTGCCACTCATACCTTTGGCCACACACCTCTCATACAATAGTTACATACACGGTTATCATTCATAGTGGTGACAGTCCTGCCATGGCTGGTTTTCTAACTTAGATCTACCTGACTCCAAAGTCAGACACGCTCTTTTCCTTAAATAATCTGCCAAGGCTAGCCTTTCTGGGGTGCATTCTTCCGGTTACCCCTTACCTATAACTCAGGCCCCCAGAACCGTTTTCATGGGGAATGTTACAAGGAGGCTAAGTCTTGGCCATGCCTGAATCAGCCATGGCCACAGCGAGGGAAACAGAACAGGAATCAATAAATCAGTTCTGGAGGAGAGAAGTGAACTTAGCCTGAGAGAGGAACACTGCTCCCTCCGGCCCACAGCCTGGCTGCTACCTCCACCTCCCCTGGAAATGCTGAGCCCATCTGCTCAGGTTTGTGGCCAGCATGAGCGCAGGTTGCTCACGTGAGTCTCACCTTTTAGGTTCTGGTACTGCTGCAGAGCCACGGATGTTTTGACCACTGAGACCACAGGTGGTTTTTTCACAGAGAGGTTAATTGGTTCCTCCAGTTCTGAGGGGACAGGCAAGTCCTTGGAAACATCTAGACCAGGGCCTGTGGGATCTTGTCCCAAAGAGTCATTGAAATGGGTGGAATCTTCACTTTCCATCTTTTAAAAGTAAAAGGCCAAGAAAAATCAAAGAAATCAGACATTTTTGCTGTTAGTGGTCACAGAGCTGTTAAGTGAAAGCCAGGATAAGGCCTTCAGGGACCACCCTTTTGCCCCGTGATGAGCAGAGATAGTTGAATGGCATTTTCCCAGGACTTACCTTACAGAGGGTGTTCCCCATGGAGGGGTCAGCCCCATCGCCAGGGCACAGGCCCCCTGCAGCTCGGCCAGGGCCAGGACTGCCACTGGCTCCAGTGTCGGGCTGCACGTCAGAAGCCGGAGGCGTACTCTGCAGAGGACAAATTGCCAGGCTTGGCACAGCCTGGCTGGGACCAGACATCAGGTTGGGCCCGGCCTGACAGTAATTACTTGCCCGGTTTGTGATGGCCTGGGAGGCCTCACTAATCAGGTTGGGCATGGACCGGGCCGTGCCACGCATGAGGCTGGGCATTGTCTGCAGGTGACTGCCTGTCAGGCTGGACAGAGCCTGGTTTTGTCCGCTTGTCAGGCTGGACACAGTCGGTGGGGGGCCACTCAGCAGGCCTGGTACTGCCTGAAGGGGGGCAGCTGTCAGGCTGCTCACACTCTGGATCTGTGGCTCTAGGGCCTTCGCCAGCCTCGTAGATGACAGCTCCATCTCCACAGTGTTGGAAAAGCCCATGATGCTCACAGAGGTGGAGTGCTGCAGGAGCAAAGACAGGACAGAGCGAGGCTGTTAGCTGGGGATGGCAGAGGGAAAGGGGAGAGGTAGCCCATACCAGCCCCCCCTTTTATGCTCTCATAAATCCTTGTACTTTATTCCAATAGCACAGTCTGTGGCACCATTTGATACTAATGTCTGCTTCCCCTACAAACTGTAAACTCCATCAGGGCATGGATTTTTATCTATCTTGCTTACCCTCTGCATTCATAGACCCACGAGCAGTGCCTGACTAAATAAATAAATTAATGAGCTATTAAAAAATGTTTTAAATAACAATAATGCATGACTGTTTATTCTACAAATTTTAAGCCAAATGAATAGCAGCTTAGTTCTACTAACAACTGAGTCTATGCACCTCTCTAACATAATGATTGTTTTTATATTGCTAAAATTTATTAAGAATGTATTACATGCAATGCAATTTGCTGAGTGCTTTACATACATTTCATCATTTAATTCTCACAACAAACATTACAGGGTTGCTGTAAAGGCCAAAAGAAAGAATCCATGTTAGCATTTGGAACAATGTCTGGCATATTGCAGGTACTCAATAAACCCAGCTGCTGCTATTATTGTTGTTATTGCTGCTGTGACCCTAAGTTTACACTAGAGGAAACGCTGCAGAATATTAAGACAAGTTATTCATTTCATGTACAGGGAGAAAGAGGGGAGTTGAGAACCTCCATCCAGAAAAGCATCTGCCGTTTTTTGGTTTTCTTTTTAATGTTATTGGAAACCTAATTTTGTAAATTTCCATTTCTTTTTATTTGTGCTCACATATAGAAATACAATTCATTTTTGTATACTGACCTTCTACCCAGAGACCTTGTTAAAGTCACTTTGGGGTTTTTCTGTGCACACAAATCATGTCATCTGTGAATAGTAAGTTTTATGTCTTCCTTTCCTGATGTTTGTTTTTCTTGCCTTACTCCACTAGCTCAGACCTCCAGGACCAAGTTAAATAGAAGCAGTTGGAGTAGCCATCCCAGTCTCATTCCTGATTTCAGGGGGAATCCTTTCAGTATTTCACCACTAGATAGGACTTCTGTAGATTTAGAATCCAGATCTCCGGCACTGAAGCCACACTCTTAATCCTGGCCTGTCTGCCACTATCCTTCTCTATGCTTCCTCCTTTCCCCTACCACTGCCATACTCTTCTTCCCTCTCTTTGTCCTTCCTTCACCTGCTCCTTCTCCCCCTAACCTTCTTCTCTCTTCCTCTCCTGTTTCCTTGTTCTTATCATCTTTTTCTCTTCCCTCCCAACTCATTTCCCTTATTGTTTTAGCAAAGTCTATATTTTCTATTCTTAATTCTCAATTTTAAAAGCAAATAAGCTAAATACCCTCTGTGTCTCCAAAGAAAAGTTTGCTTTTTATATGTTCCTTGGTAGTTCAATAGTCTTCATTTAAAAAAAAAAAGGCTCAATTTCCTCTATAGGAGGGGTCCTCAAACTTTTTAAACAGGGGGCTAGTTCACTGTCCCTCAGACTGTTGGAGGGCCAGACTATAGTTTAAAAAAAAACTATGAACAAATTCCTATGCACACTGCACATATCTTATTTTGAAGTAAAAAAACAAAACGGGAACAAATACAATATTTGTATTTGCATGTGGCCCGCAGGCCGTAGTTTGAGGACCCCTGCTCTATAGTCTAAAGCAGCGGTCTCAACCTGTGGGTTGTGACCCCTTTGGCTGTCAAACGACCCTTTCACAGGGGTTGCCTAAACTTCCTGCATATCAGGTATTTACATTACGATTCATAACAGTGGCAACATTACAGTTATGAAGTAGCAATGAAAATAATTTTATGGTTGGGTCACAACATGAGGAACTGTATTTAAAGGGCCAGAAGGTTGAGAACCACTGGTAAAGTCTCTTTCTTATAGGTAAGAAAGGTTTAAAAGAAAGGAGGATGGGGAGAATACTCAAACCAAATTTGGCAGACTAGGCATGGAGCACAGTTTAAGGGACTGCGATAAAAAAAAAGGGCTATTTCAATCACCCCTTTGTTGTCCTGGTTATGTACTACCATAGCTTTCTATTATTCTATATTTTTTGTCTATGGACAAGAATACCCGATGATGATTGCATTCCCTTCTGTTACATAGGACCATCCAGTCCTTGGAGGTGGATTTTTTCACCTTTTCCGATTTGACATGTATATTTAATGCAGTGCTGGTGTTCATTTCATCTACCGACTACACAGATGGCTCTCTGCCTTTCAGTGAGACCCTTCGTGCCAAGCATTAAGAACACCAAGATCCACAATGAGAGGATAAGGACACATTTGTAATACCTTAATCAATAAAGGGGGGGGGAGAAGAACACCAAAATCCACCTGGCCCATGCCAAGTAATGACAGTCAGGTGCAATATGTCACAAGATGTACACAAAATTAAATTCCCAAAGACAAAACTTTCCAGATTAGAGGGTAGAAATCACACTTGTAGGATATCAACTCCCCTGTCCTGGTTACTTACTGCATATCACACAATGTGAGTTAATATAATAATAGAGGAGAGCAGGGCATGCAGACTGAGCCGTGGAAGAATTGTGGAAACTGCAACAGTTTATTTTAACCTGGACCTGATGGACCTGCTTCCATAAACACCCATAACAGTATCATAACAGTGCAAGAGCAGTAACACGCCCTAAGATACTGCAGACAAGACCGGTCTCTTTTGCCTCCATATCTACAGCCAATCTCAAGGAGGCTAAGGCCATCAGGGGGTGGGGTGAAGCTCTGGCAGTGGTAACAAGAACCTGGGAAATGTCCCTGGGGGAATTCTGAGTAGAGACTCAGAGCAAGTGCCATAAGGAAGCCAGCCCCGACTCCATTTCTACAGGCTGTACAAACACAGTGGCATTTCCAGAACCGATATTTGCTGAGTATTAGTTATTTTAAGATGCTTTATCTATCTCTCTGGAGTGAAAGGCTGCAAAAGGTACTCATTTCATGTATAGAAAGAAAGAGATGAGTTGAGAACCTCCATCCTACTCTCCTGCCAGGGCTACTAGGTGAGTAGAGGGCTAAGGGGAGGGTCTACTTTCAGGGCCAGGAAAGCAGGCTGAGTCTCCAGGGCCTGCAAGGAAGGAAAGGGCTTCTGAAGCACATGCTCCCATTGGAGAAGGGCTTGGGAATGTGGCCACACCTGGCATTTGGTGCCTCACACACAGGAGGAGCTCAACTGTCAATGGAGATGATGCCACCTGCCCTCTCTGCACCACGATTGTTCACAGGTTAAATGAGAAACGTAAGCCTATGGCCTGCTGTAAAGTCTGTATAGGGCAATCACTGACACTTCCAAGCTGGCAGGTACACAACCGATACCTTAATCTCATCTTTACATACAAAATGTTCAGATTTCATTGGGGAAAATGTATACTTGAGGTTTTCAAGTGAAAATGAACATTTTCTAGTTCAGGGAACAAAAAAAAGTCAAAATGCCAAAAACATTCATTCTGATAATCCACTCAGGTTACCTTTGGGGAAGAGGGGAGAGTGCCCTGAGCCTAAAGAGCCCCTCTTACCTCTCTGACCTAGCATATACTCACTTGCCCCTAATTTTCTCTCCCCCAAAACTGCATGTTCTTGTCCCTGTCCCTTTCCTCTTCTTGTCTCTTATCTCTTTATCTCTATCTCCTTATCTCTGTTTGCATCTGCCTGACCTATGATTTGTCTGAATCACCCCATCTAGAATGTATATAATCTACCCGTCTGAACCACCTGCCTCTACAACTTGCCTGGCCTGCTACTTCCCTGAATTGTCCGACTTTCACCCTCTTCTACTGGTCACCTATGCAACCCTTCACCTGTTTAACCTGTCTTTCCTGCTTGCCCTGCGCTCTGTTACCTGCGGCGCCTCCTCCCTCTCCCCATCCTCACCACACAAATCTTTTTCTAGAGTTCAATGTGTTAACATTATTCCACATGGTGATGTCAATAATCAGCGGAAGCTCTGTTCTTTCATTTTAGGAAGGGATTGAGACACAGAGTGATTACCCAGATCTCCCAAGCCCCTATAGGCCCAAGACTAGGAACCTGAGCCCAGCCTTAAAAACCTGCTGACTGGTCTTGATTTTCTGCCATTAGCTAGAAAGCCAGTGCCCTAGTAAGACGGAATTGAGAAGGCAATAAACAGACACTTAGTGCACATGCCCTGAGTTTAATATCAATTTCAGGTTCTTACAGCAAGACAATAGTGCTGGGGGTAAAGTAGTGTAGATGGAGTGGTATTCCACAGAAATTCATTTTCAAGATATCTGAAACATACCTTAAAATTATTTTGAATGGGAGCACTTCTGAAACACCTTACACACTAGCTTGTCTTATTAAATAGAGCACATGGGGCCTAATGAGACCATTTATTTAGTGACACAAAGGAACTTTGATGAACTCCTCTTACTGGGGCAGGACAGTGGTGCTTTAGGGAACATCTGAGATTGCAGGGCGTTGCTTGTCATCTCGGGGCTCACACCGCCCCACTTTTCCGGGTGAAGCTTCTCACCTTCCCCAGGTGTTAGCTGCCATTATCGAAGGCCCGACTCCCTGCTTCTGATCTGCTTACTGCTGCAATGTAAGAAAACTAAGTAATTTCCAAAGAAAACCATACAGCTAAGCTTTCTAGATCAAGACTGCTGACTAGACACCTGAGTGTGGGCTTATGGTCTCATACAGAATATAATGCGTGGAGTTCATGACATTGTGTTCTGCTGCTGCTCCGAAGCTTTGACCGATCACTTCTGGTTTCAGGGTTTTGTTCAGTATTAAAACTGTCTAAGACTAACCACACCATGTAAATGGGCAGTATGAGAAGGGACCAGTGACTTGGCAGTTGTGCCTTGGAAACACACAGAAGGCCTTCACTCTGGCTGAAGGAAACAGATAAGGAGACAAGGATAGCGGTAAATAGATTTGTGAATTAAATCCTTGGGATATTTGAGTGCGTCAGCAGCTTCCGAGGTAGGCTGGTTTAAAAT